CTTTTTCTTTTTTAATTTACTTATGTTTTTCTTTCTTCTATCTTTCTAAATAATTTATTAATTATATAATTTTCTTTAATATTTAAAAAGCTACAATTCAATTCGTGATTAAGATACTTCACTCTTAGGTTCTGCTTTAGCAAATTGCACTAATCTCTAAAATTTGACACTTAGACTTTTGTAAAAACAGTTTATTTGTTTTGTTTGGATTGTGATATTTCTATTTATAAAAATAAATTTCAAACAATTAAACTCTTTTAATTTGTTTATAAGCTTTTTATTGATTTATTAATCTTTTTTTTATTATATGTACGTACTTGTGTTTATTTGTATTTATTTCTTCTATCTTTCTAAATAACTTATTAATTATATATTTTTTCTTCAATATTTAAAAAGTAAAAATTATATTGGTGATTAAGGTATTTCAGGCTTAGGTTCTGCTTTAGCAAATTGCACTAATCTCTCAAATTTGACAATTGATCTTACGTAAAAATAAATAGTTTATTTGTTTTGTTTGTATTGTGATATTTCTTTTTATAAAAAAGAATTTAAAATAATTAATATCTTTTAATTTGTTTATTAGTTTTTAATTAAATTTTTAATATTTTTCTTCTTTCTATCATTCATTCTAAATAACTTATTGAATATATATTTTTTCTTCAATATTTAAAAAGTAGAAATTAAATTGGTGATTAAGGTACTTCAAACTTAGGTTCTGCTTTAGCAAATTGCACTAATCTCTCAAATTTGGCACTTAAACTTTGGTAAAAACAGCTTATTTGTTTACGATTGTGATATTTCTTTTTATAAAAAAGAATTTAAAATACTTAATCTCTTTTAATTTGTTTATTAATTTTTAATTAATTAAATTTATTAATCTTTTTCTTTTTATTGTACGTACGTACTTGTGTTTGTTTGCATTTCTTCTATCATTCTAAATAACTTATTAATTATATATTTTTTCTTCAATATTTAAAAAGTGAAAATTAAATTGGTGCAAGTGGTGCATCAGGCTTAGGTTCTGCTTTAGCAAATTGCACTAATCTCTCAAATTTGACGCTTGAACTTTTGTAAAAACAGTTTATTTGTTTTGTTTGGATTGTGATATTTCTATTTATAAAAATATATTTAAAACAATTAAACTCTTTAAATTAATTTGTTTATTAGCCTTCAATTAGATTCATTAATCTTTTTCTTTTTTATTGTACATACTTGTGTTTATTTGTATTTATTTCTTCTATCTTTCTAAATAACTTATTAATTAGATATTTTTTCTTCAATATTTAAAAAGTTAAAATTTAATTGATGATTAAGGTACTTCAGGCTTAGGTTCTGCTTTAGTAAATTGCACTAATCTCTCAAATTTGACAATTGATCTTAGGTAAAAATAGTTTATTTATTTTGTTTGGATTGTGATATTTCTATTTATAAAAATTAATTTAAAACAATTAAACTCTTTTAATTTGTTTATTAGCTTTTAATTAATTAATTAATTAATTAGATTTATTAATCATTTTCTTTTATGTTTGCATTTCTTTTTTCTATCTTTCTAAATTACGTATTAATTTTTTTTTCTACAATATTAAAAAAGTTACAATAAAATACTTGCAAGAGGTGCATCAGACTTAGGTTCTGCTATAGCAAATTGCATTAAACTCTCAAATTTAACATTTGTTCTTTCGTAAAAACAGTTTATTTGTCTAGGATTGTGATATTTCTATTTATAAAAATAAATTTAAAACAATTAAACTCTTTTAATTTGTTTATAAACTTTTAATTAGATTTATTAATCTTTTTCTTTTTATTGTCTTGTGTTTATTTATATTTCTTCTATAATTCTAAATAACTTATTGAAAAAATATTTTTTCTTCAATATTTTAAAAGGGGAAATGAAATTGGTCCAAGTGGTGCAAAAGGCTTAGTTTCTTCTTTAGCAAATTGCATTAATCTATCAAATTTATTACTCGATCTTAGGTAAAAACAGATAATTTGTTTTGTTTGGATTGTGATATATTTCTATTTATAAAAATAAATTTAAAATAATTAAACTCTTTTAATTTATTTAATTAGATTTAATTTTTCTTTTTTATTATTTGTGTTTATTTGTATTTCTTCTATCTTTCTAAAGAACTTATTAATGATATTTTTTTCTACTATATTTAAAAAGTTACAGTGAAATTGGTGCAAGTGGTGCATAAGACTTAGGTTCTGCTTTAGCAAATTGCACTAATCTCTCAAATTTGACACTTAGACTTTTGTAAAAACAGTTTATTTGTTTTGTTTGGATTGTGATATTTCTATTTATTAAAATAAATTTAAAACAATTAAACTCTTTTAATTTGTTTATTAGCTTTTAATTTGTTTATTAGCTTTTAATTTGTTTATTAGCTTTTAATTACATAGATTTATTAATCTTTTTCTTTTTTATTGTAAGTACTTGTGTTTATTTGTATTTATTTCTTCTAACTTTCTAAATAACTTATTTATTAAATATTTTTTTTTCAATATTTAAAAAGTGGAAATTAAATTTGTGATTAAACTATTTCAGGCTTAGGCTCTGCTTTAACAAATTGCACTAATCTCTCAAATTTGACACTTTACCTTGGGTAAAATCAGTTTATTTGTTTTGTTTGGATTGTGATATTTTTATTTATAAAAATGAATTTAAAAGAATTAAACTCTTTTAATTTGTTTATTATGTTTTAATTAGTTTTATTAATCTTTTTCTTATTATTGTACATACTTGTGCTTATTTGTATTTCTTCAATCATTCTAAATAACTTATTGATTATATATTTTTTCTTCAATATTTACAAAGTGACAATAAAATTGGTGCAAAAGGTGCATCAGACTTAGGTTCTGCTTTAGCAAATTGCACTAATCTCTCAAATTTGACACTTTACCTTGGGTAAAAACAGTTTATTTGCTTTAGATTGTGATATTTTTATTTATAAAAATGAATTTAAAACAATTAAACTATTTTAATTTGTTTATTAGCTTTTAATTACATAGATTTATTAATCTTTTTCTTTTTATTGTACGTACGTACTTGTGTTTATTTATATATATTTCTTCTATCATTCTAAATAACTTATTAATCATATATATTTTCTTCAATATTTAAAAAGTGGAAATTCAATTCATATAAATGGTGCATCAGGCTTAGGTCGTGGTTTAGCAAATTGCAAAAATCTCTCATATTTGTAACTTAATCTTAGGTAAAAACAGTTAATTTCTATTTATAAAAATGAATTTATTTAAAAGAATTAAACTCTTTTAATTTGTTAATATGCTTTTAATTAAATTTATTAACCTTTTTCTTTTTCTTTTTATTGTACTTGTTTGTTTTTATTTGTATTTCTTCTATCTTTATAAATATCTTTTTAATTATATATTTTTTCTTCAATATTTAAAAAGTCAAACTTAAATTGGTGTAAGTGGTCCATAATGCTTATTTTATGCTATAAAAAAATGCACTAAACTCTCAAATTTGACATTTACATTTTGGTAAAAACAGTTAGTTTATTTTGGATTATGATAATTCATTCTATTTTTAAAAATAAATGAATTTAAAACAATTAAACTCTTTTAATTTGTTTATTTATTAGCTAGCTTTTTATTAGATTTATTAATCTGTTTCTTTTTATTGTACATGCGTTTTTATTTCTTTTATTTTTCATATTTTGTTTCACTCATTTATTTTTAATATTTTCTTTTATTATTTGTTAATTAATTTCATATTTTTTCTTTTTTTTTTCTTTCTAATTAACTTATTATATATTTTTTCTTCAATATTTAAATAGTTGTGATGAAATTTGTCATTAAGGTGGTTAATTTATTTTATTCTTCTTCTCTGCTTTAGCAGATTGCACTAATCTCTCAAACTTGACACTATATCTTAAGTAAAAACAGTTTATTTGTTTTGGATTATGATATTTCTATTTATAAAAATGAATTTAAAACAATTAAAACTTTTAATTTGTTTATAAGCTTTTTATTAGATTTAATTTATTTTTTATTTTGCTTATGCTTATTTTATTTAATTTTAAATATAATTTTTAATTCAAAAATCTTATCCTATTTATTTTATTTTATTTTTTTTATTATTTTATTTTAATTTAATATAATATAGAAAATTTAACAGAAAAGATGTATAATAAAAATTAAAAGTAAAAAACTAATGTCTTAAATCTAAAAGATTAGTTGTCTTTAAAATATATTTCGGCTGATAGACTAATCAAGAAAAAGGATGAATAAATATTAAATATATGTATGACCAGTAGAAAATAATATGTCTTCTTATATAATATTTTGTAAAAAGATAATTTAACCAAAATAAAAGATAGATATATTTATTTTTATTTTTATACTTATATTTATGAATATCATATATATTTATTTTGTTAAGTTAGTAAATAGCCTATTAAATAAAAGAGAGTTCATAAATTAAATTAACATAAATAAATAAATAAATGAATATCTTTAAAACAAATAAGTCCTCTGCTCTGTTTGTTTTGACCAAAAACAATCAAATCTTTTAATATTAAATATTATCGATTATAATATTAAGAAATTAAAGGGTAACAAATTGCAATAAAAAGCACTACTGTACGCTCTTATTAATTAACACCCACCCCTTTTCAAATTTTGTGTGATATTTTGGGTGTTTATACCAAAAAAATGTTCGATTTCAAAAAATAAATGGGTGTTAATTAATGAATTTTTGGGTGTTAATATAATTAAATATTTTTCAATTTTAATTCTTTCTCTTTATTTAGGATTCAAGAAAATAATCCCCTTCAAATTTTTTTTTTAATTTTAAACAAATATTTTTCATAGTTTTTAGAAAAAAATTAATATAATATTATAATAAATCGTTAAATTGATGATTATTAATTATAATAAAAAGATATATTTATTATTCAACGAAATAATATTAGTAGAAAGAACCTATATAAGAATTTATACTTTTTTTTGAAGTAATTAAAAAATAATTTACCTAAAATTGATATGTAAATTTTTGAGTTATTTACACTTTGATAATTCACAACCCTTCCTCCGTATTCATAGTTTTATTAACTAAAGCTAAATTTCCTTAATAGTAAGTAAATCAAATGGTTGTTTGTTTAAAAATGAAAATAACAGTTTTAATTTAATATTTTTAAACTATTATGAAAATGAGAAATGAAAAACTTGCAAATAAAATAAAAAGTGATTAATTTTATTTATATTTCAATAAATAGATTAGATAGATGAAGATAAATAGATATAAAAATAAATTTATTTCTTTAGATTTAAAATCTTAAAAAAATAACAAAATCAAAAAAATTTACTGTAGATTTAGAACCAAAGATTAGAGATCCAAACGCTTAGTTAGTTGATATAATAATTTTTAAAGCTTTTTTTTACCTACCTTTTTCTGTCTTTATTTAATTTCCATCAAATATATAAATAAAATTATTAAAATGTTCACTAGAATCAAATAAAATAATAGCGAAAATGTGTTTAATAAATTTTAAATTTCTAAATATTTACAAATTTATATCAGCTTATATATAATAGACATTTTGAAAAATATAATTCACTTGCATTAAAGATAAAATAAATATCTACACCATATTAATAAATAAAAAATATTTTCTTATTCTGTAAAAGATTTATATTTCTTAAAGACAAAATCTAATAAGCTAATTAGAGAGTTAAAAATTTAAGTAATACATAAATAAATAATTAAACTAAAAATGAAGAAATGTTTATTAAATTACGCTAAATCTATATCTTAGAATTCATACAATCAAGAATTCGAATGCTTTAATTTAAAAATGTGAATTAACGTTTTATAACTTGAATTTTTAATTGGAAATTAATTAATTAGCTTTTACATATCTTTATATAACTAACTTCTCATTCTCTTAAATATTTATTTTTTCTTTTAGAACAAATTTTTAGATATCAAATTGATTATAAGAAAGAAAATAAATTAACCAAATATTTGAAATATAATTTAAACAAATAAATAAGTATTTTAGTAATTAGCATTTATAATTAATTCCTTGCACTTTTAAAAATATAGGTATTTAAATTTTCATTATTAATTTATTTTTATAAGATTAAATTAATTGGCTAGATAAATTAGAAAGTAATAAACTGAAATTAAATTAAGAATATAAAAGCAAATATTTTTTAAAATTTAATAAGGATAAAGCTTGATAAAATTAAGCTTAGAAATCTAATAACTTGCATGAATGTTTGGCAAATAGAAAGAAAAAAGTGTATTAAAAAAATATAGATAGATTGATTGATAACAGTATATAATATATATAAAATAAATAGTAATATATAGTTAGCTAGCTTATTTTTATTAAATAATATGTTCTAATTGTTGTAAAAATTAAAAAATCTATTTATTCAAATAAACTATTTAGATGAATGAATGTTATTTACTTGCTAAAAAGTTGAAGACTTTCATTCAATCATTCATTATTGGATTTCTAACAATAATATTTTTTTGTTCATTAATTTGTTAGATATAAATTTCTATTTCTATTTCTTTTCATTATTCAGAATTCATCATTCTCTTCTTCTGAAAGATCATAATTAAATTATTTATGTACTAATGGTTTTATTTTAAGCATTATCTACTAAATCTTTTTGAATAAATTTTATGTAATTGGCTAAAAACTAAATTTATTAAATATAAATTAAAATTAGCATCAAATTTATTATTTCAAAAATAAGTAAACTCAAAAAATTAATTACTCTATGATAAGGTCCAAGTTTGTGAGTTTTCTAATTTTCGATATTTCTTAAAAGAAATATAAACCTGCTTTGTGACTCATTTTACCTCCACTTTTAATTTAATAAAATAATATATTTATTTATTTAACTTCATTTAAATTTTTTCAAATTTTATTTTTAAAACTTAAAAACAATAAAAAATAAAAATTTTTAAAAAATTGTTTCGAAATAACTGTTTACTGACTTACTTACTTACTTACTTACTTATTTAACTAATACTTTATTAATTTCTATTACAATAAATATACAAATTAATTAATTAATAAATAAATTTACTTTGTATCAATTTTTAAAGATGAAAGTTGATTGCATTTAGCTAAGCCTTAACTTAGATCTATTATTCCCTGATCACAAATTTAAATATTACTTTAATTATTATTATATATTTTAAAATTAAAATAAGCAAATAAATAAATCAATAAATAAATAAGAATAGACAAAACAGGCCATTTTTGTTATTTAAATTAGTAAGAAAATTTAAAATTACTAAATAAAAAATAATATTACTATAATTGAAGAGTTAAATACTATAGTTTTTAGCATCTTGACAATCTATAACCTAACTCTTTTGCATTTTCAGCATTCAACAAGAAACCCCTTTTTTGGTATTAATGGAATAAACGTAGTTTTTAAAAATAAAGAAAGTAAGTATTTTTTTCAATAAATTTAATTTAAGAAATTGTAGAAACAAAATTAATTAATTAGTTTAATTGAGCCAAAACTTAGCTAAAAAATTATGAATAAAAATATTATAACAATTTTAATTAAAATTAAAGTTTTAAGTAAATAAATAAATAAATAAGCTATATTCACCCTAAACTAATTTCAAAATGTGAGTAGTTATCTAACTAGTTTAAACCAAAGAATATATCCTTTTAGAACATTAATAATTAGTTAAACCTTTTAAATTAAATTAAATAAAATATGTTTAATATTTTCTCTTTCATTCAAATCAACATAAAGGAGCAATAATGAATACTATTTACCATGATTTTATATACAAAATATAGTAAGATTTTAAACTTTTTCTAAATGATTCTTTCAAACTATTATTAAATTTTATTAAATATGATTATTTGTTATTTATTATGTATATATGCATTATAATTAAAAGAAAATCTTTAGTCTATTTTATCAAATCAAAAATTTTATTTAACAAATCAAAAAATAATACTATGTTTTTATTCATAATATGATAAAAAAATTATTTTATATTTAATCATGCTTTAATTAAATTAAATAAAAGTAGCAGTTAAATATCTATATATCTATCTATCTACCTACCTACCTACCTACATATCTAAAAAGCTTAATTTACTTGAGCGAAAAAGATTGATAATTGTCCTTATTTTCTGAGCTAAATAGATCTAAAGGATTATTAACATTTGTTTTTTTCCAACTGTAAATTAAAAGGTTATTTAATATAATAAAAAAATAAATGATAAAAGTATTAAAATAAAATTATAAATTTATTTTGTTATCATAAAATCAATTTATATAAAAAATGTTAGATTTAAGATTTTATTAATTTAGATAAAATAGATAAATAAATAAAAAAATCACCCAAAATCAATATCAATCCAAGAAAGTTAAATACACTTATTTAATTCAGATACTAAAGCTCTTTCCCCCTCTTAAGTGATAAATTCAGATCTTCAGTTTAATTAATTAATTAATAAATAATATATTTAACAATAATCAACATTAAAATAATTAAATTAGAGATTGATTTAAGATAAAAATTTATGTATTTACTTTTGAACAATGAGAAATGAATTAAATAAATTTACCTTAAACAAATTGTCAATTTAGTCAGTTTAAAACACTTAGTTAAAGCTTAACCGAACATTATTATACTTTAATCTCTTATTTCATTATCTCTTTTCGATGTAAAAATAAATTTTATTCATATTTAAAATTAAAAATTTTTTTTAATTTACTTTTTTTATTAAATTCAATCAAATAAATAAATAAATAAAATTTGATGCTTTTTAAAAATATTTATTTTATTTTACTTTATTTAAATTAATTAATTAATAAATTTAACAATAATAACATAAAAATAATTAAATTAGTGACTGATTTAAGCTAAAAATTTATTTATTTATTTATTTTGGAGCTTTTCAAAGAAGTAAATAAATAAATTAATTAATTTACCTTAACCTAATTGATAAGACAGTAAGTTCAAAAAATTTAGCTAAAGCTTAACCTAAACTTATTAAATCTTAATCACTAATTTGATTGTCGCTTTGGATGTAAAAAAAAATTTATTGATATTTAAAATAAAAACTTTAATTTTTTTAGAATAAAATAATAAATACAAATAAATTTATTTTGTTATGCAAAGTAATTTAAAGTTTTCATTAAATTTAAAAATATAGATAAAGTTTTTGAATATTAAATATTTATTTATTTATTTTACTTTAAATAAAGACCTAAATGTTTAAGCATTTTCAATTTTTCTAAATGAATAGCTATATTTGATGCTCCAGTATTATTAATTTAATTTTAACTATTGTATTAAACAAACAAACAAACAATCAAAATAAAATTATTTTCTTCTTAAAAAAAATTAAATTTAAAAATAAAATTAATAAAATAAATTGATAAATTTTAAATATTTATTTATTTATTTTACTTTAAAACTAGATCGAGATATTAAAGCTAATTCAATTTTTATAATTAAATAACTATATTTGATGCTCCGTTATGATTAATTAAATTCTATCTATTATATTAAACAATGTTAAATTTATTATTCAAAGATATAATAAAGAAATTCTTACAAAAATTAAAAGTAAAAAAATAAATCATTCTTTTGTTTTTAAAAATTCAAATAAATTGATTTCTGGCTGGATGACTTAATAATGTATTTAGAAATTAATTTAAAAGATAATTAATGAATTAATAAAATTACTTCAATCTAAGAGTTAGTTAATAGATATTTTTACATTTTACTAAACTTTACATTAGATCTGATGCTCCCATACTAGTAATTTTATTCATACTTTTTATTTATTATAAAATGTATTAAAATTAATTAATTATAGCAAAAATTTATGAATATTAAAGAAAAAAGAAAAAGATCGAGAAAATATATTTATCAATATCTATTTTTTTATTCATTTATTTGCTTCTCTTTTTATTTTTATGATAAACTTTTTAAAAATAGTAAAGATATAATTAACAAAGTATAATTAATATCTTAAATTTACTCTAATGAAAGTATCAGTTTCGTCAGATTTTTAAAATAGAGAATAGCTTGACTTAATCTAATAGCTCCTTCATCTTTAATTTTATTGTTTCTTTTTATTAATAAATATTGAAATAAACTAACTATAAAGAATTGGCTTAAAATATATTAAAGCAATTATCCCAAAATAAAGATAAACACTTACTCTAGCTTAAGAGTCAAATTTTCCAGATTTTATAATTTAGGTAATTTATAGCTTAATTCTGATAAAGAATTATAATTCATTTATATTGAACTTTTTTAGAAATTAATATAGTTTATTAAATTTTATGTATGTTTAATTTAATAATAAAGAATTTTAAGTATTAGAAATTATGTCAAAAAAATTAATTAATTTACTTTAGGGATAACACCAAACATCTTAGTTGAAAATTTTCTTAAATTGCAGATCCTATTAAGGATATACTTTAACTATCCATTGAACAATTACTTTTAATAAATTTAATAAGATATAGATAGTTATTATAAAATATATAAATATATATATAGTGTGTTTAAGGTTGTGTATAAAAAAATGATGGATGATTATCTTTGTAGTTTGAAAATATTAAAATTGAACTTACGAAAAGTCGAGATCAAGATCTTGAAGATTAAGTAATTATGTCAATCCTGAGCTTAATTCGCAAATAAATTATTTTGTAATTTAATTATTGCTTTTAGCATAATTAAATAAATATATTATAAGATTTTACTGTAAGAAAAAAAAGAGCAAAAACATCAAAAATCAAATCAAATCTAATAATTTTTTTTTGAAGTAATTTAAAAAATAATTTACCTAAAATCGATATGTAAATTTTTGAGTTATTTGCACTTTGCTAATTCACAACCCATTCCTCCGTATTCTTAGTCTTATTAACTAAAGCAACTTTTCCTTAATAGTAAGTAAATCAAATGGTTGTTTGTTTAAAAATTAAAATAAGAAATGAAAAACTTGCAAATAAAATGAAAAGTGATTAATTTTATTTATATTTCAATAAATATAAGGAGATAGATAGATAGAGAAAAAATAAATTTATTTCTTTAGATTTAAAATCTTATAAAAAAAATAACAAAATCAAAAAAATTTACTCTAGATTTAGAAACAATACTTTGAGATCTGAACATTTAGATAGTTGATATAATAATTTTGAAAGCTTTTTTTTGTTTATACTGTTCTGTCTTTATTTAATTTCGATCAAATATATAAATAAAATTATTAAAATTTACTCTAGAATCAAATAAAATATTAGCAAAAATTTGTTTAATAATTTTAAATTTGTAAATATTTACATATTTATATCAGATTATGATAGACATTTTGATAAATCGTAGTCACTTGGATTATAGGTAAAATATCTACACCTTATTAATAAATAAAAAATATTTTCTTATTTTGTACAAGATTTATATTTCTTAAAGATAAAATATAATAAGTTAATTAGCGAGTTAAAAATTGAAGTAATTCATAAATAAATAAATAAATTATTTAACCAAAAAAATAAGAAATGTTTATTAAATTACGCTAAATCTATATCTTAGAATTCAGACAATGAAGAATTTGAATGCTTTAATTTAAAAAATGTGAATTAACGTTTTATAACTTGAATTTTGAATTGTAAATTAATTACCTTTTACATATCGTTGCTTAACTCACTTCTCATTCTCTTAAATATTTATTTTTTCTTTTAGAACAAATTTTTAGATATCAAATTAATTATAAGAAAGAAAATTAATTAGCCAAATATTTGAAATATGATTAAAACAAATAAATAACTATTCTAATAATTAGCATTTATAATTAATTCCTTGCACTTTTAAAAAAAGAGATATTTAAATTTTCATTATTAATTTTTAAATGATTAAATAAATTAGCTAGATAAATTAGAAAGTAATAAACTGAAATTAAATTAAGAATATAAAAAGCAAATATTTTTGAAAATTTGATAAGAATAAAGCTTGATAAAATTAAGCTCAGAAAAATAAAAAACATGCATGAATGCTTGGCAAATAGAAAGAAAATAAGTATTAAAAAAATATTGATTTATTGATGATAACAATATATATAAAAATATATATATATATATAATAAATAGTAATATATAGGTAGTTAGGTAGTTAGATTTTATTTATCAAATAATAATTTCTAATTGTTGTAAAAAATAATAAATCTATTTATTCAAATAAGCTATTTAGATTAAGAATGGATATTATTTATTTGCTCAGCAGTTGAAGACTTTCATTAAATCATTCATTATTAATTAATTAATTGTATTTCTAACATAAGATTTTTTGTTCATTCATTAATCTCTTAGTTAGACATTTCAATAATCAAGAAATTCATCATACATACTCTTCTTCTGGTTCATCATAAAAATAAATCGTTAATGAAAAATATAGTAATCTTTTTATTTTAAGTATTCTCTAGGACATGTTTTTGAAAAAACTTTTTCTACTTGGTTAAAAGCTATAAACACTAAATATAAATAAAAATTAGCATCAAATTTATTACTTTAAACATAAATAAACTCAAAAAAATAATTAATTACCTTGTACAAAGGCTCAAATTTGTGAGATTTCTGATTTTTGATATTCCTTATAAGAAATATAAACCTGCTTTGCTATTTATGTTATTTCCACTTTTAATTTAATAAAATTGTTTTTAACTCAAATCATAAAAAAATATTAAAATTAATAAAAATTTATCATTTATTGATTTTTATTTAAATTCATTCTAATTTTTCAAATTTAAAAAGGAATAAATAATTTAAAATTTTTTTCTATTGTTTAGAAATGGCTCTCTACTAACTTTTAACTAACTAACTAACTAAATAACTAATAACTAATAACTAATGCTTGACTGATTTCTATTAAAATAAATATACTAATTAATTAATCAATTAATAAATTTACTATATGTTAATTTTTAAAGTTGAAAGTTGATTGCATTTAGATAATCCTTAACTTAGATCTATTATTCCCTAATCACCAATTTAATTGCGTCTTTAAATATTATTATAGATTTTTAAATTAAAAAATAAATAGATAAATAAAAATTGATAAAAAAGGATTTCTGTGTTATTTAAATTAATAAGATGATTTTTTAAAATGACTAACTAAATAAAAAATAAAATTACTATAATTCAAGAGTTAAATATTAGAGTTTTTAATATCTTGATAATGCATAACCTAAGTCTTTTGCATTTTGAGTATTCATTTAGAAATCACTTTTTTATATTTAATTAAATAACATAGTTTTCAAATCAAGGCATTATTTTTTCCATAAATTTAATTTAAGAAATTGTACAAAAAAAATTAATTTAATCAAAACTCAGCTAAAAATTTATGAATAAAATTAAAGTTTTGAGTAAATTATTAAGCTAAATTTACGTTAAACTAATTTCAAAATGTGAGTACTTATCTAGCTAGTTTAAACCAAAGAATATATCTTTTTAGCCCATTAATAATTAGTTAAACCTTTTAAATTAAACAAATTAATAAAAATATGTTTAAAATTTTTAAAAATTTTAAATTTATTTTAATTATTTGAGATTTATTGCACAAAAAATTTTAATTCGTTATAAAGCAAGAAACTTAGAAATATTAAAAAGTAAATTTCTTATTTAAAATCAGTCAGTCAGTCAGCCATACATTCATTCATTCATTCATTCATTCATTCATTCATTTAAAAATCCATAGATTGATTATTCGATATTTTAAATATTTATAAATTAAAAACTTATTCTAGTTTTTAAAAATAATAAGATAAAAAATATATATTCTTATTCCTTAAAATTCAACATTCCTAATAAAGAAAGGAGCTAAAAAAATGAAAAGTAAAAATTTACCATGATTTTATATTCAAATAATATTCAAGGCATCTTGATGATTATTGATAGCTTCTATTTAATTTTATTAAATATTATTGTTTTTTATTTATTATATATATAATCAAAAGAAAGTTTTAGTTAGTCATTTTATCAAAAAAGTAACTTTAATTAACAAATAAAAAAATAGTATTATTTTTTTATTCATCATTATGATAGATTATTTAAATAAAAGTAGCTAGCTAAATATCTAACTATCTATCTATCTACACACTTACCTACCTACATATCTGATAAACTTAATTTACCTGAGTGTAAAAATTTGATTTTTGTCAATGTATTCTGATATAAATAATTCTTAAGGATTATTAACATTTGATTTTTACGCACTGTAAATTAAAAAGTTATTTATATTAATATAATAGATATACTAAAAATTATTAAAATTAAAAATTAAATTGCAAATTTTATTAGAATAAAATAAATTTATGTAAAAAAATTTGAGATTTAAGATTCAATTATTTTGATAAGATAAATTAATAAATAAAACAACTAAAAAAATGACCTGAATTCAATATCAATCCAATAAAGTTTACTACATTTGTTTAATTCAGATCCTAAAGCTTATATCCCCTCTTATGTAATAAATTCAGATCTTCATTTTAATTTGTTTAAAAATAATTAAATTAGTTATTGATTTAAGATCAAAATTTATTTATTTATTTAGTTATTTATTTATATACTATTGACTTGTTAGAAATGAAGTAAATGAATTTACCTTAAACTAATTGTTAATTAAGTCAGTTTAAAACATTTAGTTAAAGCTTAACCTAACATTTTGACACCTTAATCACTAATTTCATTGTCTCTTTAAATTTAAAAATAAATTTTATTCATATTAAAAATTAAAAATTAAATTTTTTTTATATTAAATTCAAATCAAATAAATAAATGTTGAAGCTTTTTAATAATATTTATTTTAATAATTAATAAATTTAACAATAATTAATTAACATTAAAATAATTAAATTCAGTGTTGGAACGAAGGCTAAAAAATTTGACTTCGCGAAGAAAAAAAAATCTTGCCTCTACGAATTTTTAGCATAACCTTCGCTTCGCCCCTTCGCGAATTTTCTTCGCCTTGCCAAACTTCGTTCCAACACTGATTAAATTAGTGATTGATTAAAGCTAAAGATTTATTTATTTTTGAGCAATTATTAATGAAGTAAATAAATAAATAAATTAATTAATTAATTTACCTTAAACTAATTTTTAAGTTATGAAGTTCAAATAATTTAGTTAAAGATTGACCTAAATTTTTTATATCTTAATCACTAATTTGATTGTCGCTTTAGATGTATAAAAAAATTTTATTGATTTATTTTTAAAATATCTTAACAATTTTTTAGAATAAATAAAAAAAGAATAAGTTATTTATTTTACTTAAAACCTAGATTGAGAAACTGAAGCTTTTTCAATTATTCTAATTGAATAACTATATTTGATACCCCAACATAATTAATTTAATTCTAACTATTATGTTAAATTTGTTATTATCATAAAAAAAAGAAAATCTTGTAAAAATTAAAAGTAAAAGAATCAAAATTAATTTTTTAGTTTTTAACATTAAAACTCAAATAGCTGGATGAGTGGTTGGTTGGTTTCTATGATTTGAAAATTAATTCAAAAGGTAATTAATTACTTCAAGCTAAGAGTTAGTGAATAGATATTTTTACATTTTACTACACTTTATATAAGATCCGATGCTCCCATACTTGTAATTTTATTCATGCTTTTATTATAAAATTTATTAAAATTAATTATTTAGAGCAAAAATTTTTGAATATAAAAGAAAAAAGAAGAAGATTGAGAAGACATATTGGTCAATAAATTAAATTTGATTCTTTATCTATTTTTTATTTATTTATTTATTTATTTGATTCTCTTTTTATTTTTATGATAAGGTTTTTAAAAATTTTGTATTTTAAATTAAGATTTTATAAACCAAATATAATTAATATCTTCAATTTACTCTAATGAAAGTCTAAGTGTTTTAAGATTTGCAAACTATAGAATAGCTTGACTTAATCTGATAGCTCCTTCATCTTTAATTTTATTGTTTCTTTTTATTAATAAATATTGAAATAAACTAAATATAAAGATAAAAAAAAAAACTTACTCTAGCTCAAGAGTCAAATATTTCAGATTTGTTAATTTAGATAATTTAGAGCTTAATTCTGATAAAGAATTATAATTCATTTATATTGAACTTTTTTTTAAAATTAAAGTTATTAATCAGTATATAATTATGTATGTATGTATGTATGTATGTATGTATGATTTAATAGCAAAAAATTTTAAATATTAGAAGTTATGTCAAAAATATTAATTAATTTACTTTAGGTATAAGATCAAACTTATTAGTTGAAAATGCTTTTAAATTGCAGATCCTAGTAAAGATATAGTTTAATTATCCATTGGAAAATCACTTTTAATAAATTTAATAAGATATAGATAGTAAAATATTTAAATAAATAATTTGTTAAAGGTTGAATTATAAAAAAAATATGAATATCTTATAAAAGAATGAAATTAAATAAATTGAACTTAGGAAAAATTGAGATCGAGATATTAAAGATTAGGTAATTATGTTAATCCTAAACTTAATTCACAAGTAAATTATTTTGTAGTTTCCTTATTTCTTTTAGCATAATTAAATAAATTTATTTTTTTAGAATGAAAAAAGCAAATTCTTCAAAAATAAATAATAAAATGAATTCTGATAATATTTTTACTAATTAATTAAAAAATAAATTACTTATAAAAAATACATAATTTTCTGAGTTTTTTGCACTTTGCTAATTCACAACCCATTTCTGCGCATTCAAAGACTTATTTATCAACCTTGATTGACCTTATAGTAAATCAGATGGTTATTTAAAAATAATATAAAAATGTAATATTTTAAACTATTAAGAAAATGAGAAAAGTATAAATAAATAAATAACTTGAAAATTAATAAAAAATGGTTAATTAATTTATATTTTAACAAATGAATGGAGATATATAGATAGAAAAATAAATTTATTTCTTTAGATTTAAAATCTTAAAAAAGAAAGATAGCAAAGTCAAAAACTTACCATATATTTAGAGTCAAAGATGAGAGATTCAAACATTTAGATAGAAGAGATAATAAATTTGAAAGATTATGTTTTTTGTACTACCTTTTAATATCCATCAAATATAAAAATAAAATGATTAAAATGTTACTAAGATCAAATAAAATATTAGTGAAAATTTATTAAATAAATATTAAATTTTTAAATATTTATAATTTATTTATATCAGTTTATTTATGATAGATTTTTTAATTACGTATCATATAAATCGAAGTCTGGTGCACTATAATAAAAAGATTCACACCTTATTTATTATTAAATAAAAAATATTTTGTTATTTTGCACAAGATTTATATTTCTTAAATATTAAATTAAATAAGTTAATTAGAGAGTTAAAAATTGAAGTAATTCATAAATAAATAAATAAATAATTAAACCAAAAAAAAGAAATGTTTATTAAATTACTTTAAATCTATAGGTTAGAACTCAGAAAATGAAGAATTCGAAGGCTTTAATTTAAAATATGAACATTAACACTTTATAACTTGGATTTTTAATTGAAAATTAATTAATTACCTTTTACATATCTTTATAAAACTAACTTCTTTCTGATTTTCTTTAATATCAATTGATTTATTTATTTTAAAACAAATTTTTAAATATTAAATTGATTATAAGAAAGAAAATTAATTAACCTAATTAAATATTTGAAATCTAATTAATATTAATAAACATTCTAATAATTAGCATTGATATTAATAAATATAAAACTTTTATTCATTTTCAGAAAATATCAAATTTTTTAATAAATTTGCTTGAAAAATAAATATTCACAAAATATGGTGAAAATTTATGTTTGCTGATGAGAATTTATGAGGATTTATGGTATTTAAATCAGATTTTTTAATAAATAAAAAAAAAATATTTCATAATAAGTGGCATGCAAACCATGATATTTTTGTAAGACTTCTTGTAAAACTTAGAGATATTATAAATATTTTTAAAATTACAGAACTAAAAGAGAAAAATCTAATTATAAACATTATTTTTATAATATTTTAAGAGCATTAACTACTAGGTTTTTTCCAAATAAGACTAAATAAATAACTGGCTAACTCTAATTCCTACTCTTTACATTTTTAAATATATGTTTTAAATACAGATATTAAGTTTAAGAAGTGAATATTAAATTAATTTTCTGTGAAATCTCTTCATAAAACCAAATATATAAATTAATATTTGATAGTTAATTAATTATTATATTTATTTGTTCTTTTTAATCATTTATTATTAATTAATTAATTAATTAATTAAATTTCATAAATTGCTATTCAATATTTTTGAGAAAAAAAATAAATGATATAATAGATTAAAAAATATAATAATTTAGAAAAAGTAATTATTAATTTTTTTATTAATATTCTTTAAATTAATATTTATTAATAAAAAAAGTTTAAAAGCTCTTCGCTTTTATCTCATTAGGTTATCCATATTGATCTCAAGTATATTTTATTAATTAATTTTATTTTTTTTATTATTAATATTTTTTATATATTTAAATAAATAATTTTTATTTTAGAAATTTTTATCATTATTTATTGAATTTTATTAAAACTAAAATTTTTTATATTTTAACTTAATTTAGTTTCAATTTTTTATTAATTATTTATTATTCATTTTTTAATATTTGATATATATTCTTCATTTTTTACTATTAAAACTTACACTTAATAAAAGCTATTTATTCTTTTTACATTATAATATTTTTAATTATAAAAGTTAATTTAAAATATTATAGTTCTTTTAATTTATTTGATTTGTTTTCCTTTTTCTTTATATTATGATTTTTAATTTTTCATTCTTTGTTAAATTTATTAATTATTAATTAATCTTATTATTTCATATTTTTTATAAATTTTTCCTCCTAATTAACTATAGTGAAATACCTATTTAATTTATATCTTAATAAAATTATATAATAAAGCTAATTTTTAGAAAGCATAACATATCTTTTTTTTGAAAAAAATGAATTTTGAAAAC